CCAGAGGGGACCAGTGGGCCAGATCCTACATGGAGCTGCAAAGAGGGAAATGGCCCCTCATGGGCTCATAGTAGCCCCCAGGGACAGGAGACCTGTCCTCTGACTCTTGTGCCTTCAAAGCGGAGACTTAGGAAAGGCCTGGAGGCATCTGGGGTAGGAGGTTCTGGGGTGAAAGAAAGTTTCCCCGTGAGCTGAGAATACAGTGTCGCCTGTGTTCTTTCGTTTTGCTTTTTAATCCCCGGTTGGTACTGGAAAAACTGGGCTGGCCAGGGCCGAGGGCTGGGGCCGTGGCCCGGGGTTCCGTGGGGGCCATGGCAGCGGCCTCACGCAGGGCGGGGCTATCATTGGCAGTACAAAGCCGGCTGCAGCCGCCACTTCATCTCGGAGGAGGCCCAGGAGCGGCAGGACAAGGAGGTCTTCCAGCAGAACATGAAGCGGCGGCTGGAGTCCTTTAAGTCCACCAAGCACAACATCTGCTTCACCAAGAACAAGCCGCGACCACGCAAGGCCGGCCGCAAGAAGGCACGTGTTTTCCCTGGGCTCCTGTTGGGGGCTGGAGACTGACAGCACGCAGTCTGAGCCCCCGTGTGTGGGAGTCCAGGCCAGAGGGGCTCTAGTAGGATAATCCTTAGGCACTTGGTGGCTGTGGTAGCTTGGGTTCCCTTTTGCATCTTCCTGGAGCCCCAGGAGGGTCAGGTGAGGCCTTCAGAGGATGGTCAGCCTCATGGACCCATGGTCTCCCGAAGGAGGCAGCAGAACATCCTCTCAGAGGTGAAACAAGCAGGAGCCCCTAAGTCAGCCCCTAAGGCTGCTGAAGGGTGATCCCTTGCTGGGGCATCGGATACTCTGACTCCACACTTGCCTGGGGTGGGGTTGCAAAGGGATACCGGAACCACTGGGATGGACACAGATGCTCTCCAGGCAGCCTGTCCTTCTGTTGACCCTGTGGGTAGGCAGGGCTGGGGTTTGGCACTAGAGCCAGAGGCTTAGGGTATTTTTCTTGGCCCTCAGAAGGACGGTGTGGCTAGCACGGAGGCTACCAATGGGAAACCACCTCGAGACCTGGGCCTTCAAGACACAGGCAAGCCAGGAGCAGGGGTAGGCTGAGGGAGGGCAGGCCAGAATGGTGGAGGGACCTCTCTGTGCTGCATCCAGCACACAAGCTGGAGCCCTCAGGGACTAGTGGGGCACACTTGACTTCAAAGTTGCAAGTGCTCAAAGCAGGCATTAAACAACTGTGACAGGTGTCTACTAGCTACTTACACGCTGTAGGCCCTGAGGACTGGACAGGGTCATGGAGAAGGAGAGCTGGGTCTGGGCCTTGAAGGGCAGGCAGGCACTGGGGTCCGGTGTCCTGTCTGCAAAACCAGCAGGAGTTTGGATGAGCTGAACATGGACAGTCCTGCCAGCACCCCAAAATGTTCCTGTTTTCAGTTGGTGTGGGGTCTGGGGCTGCGGGGAGAAGTTGGGGAAGCTGGACAGTGTGGCACCCCTGGTGGCTTCCTCTGAAGACTCTGCTATCCCTGATTGTCCCCTTGGGCTCTGCATCTCACTCCCTTCCTCTCAAGCCCGCCGGCCCCCAAGCTGGTGCTAAAGTGGCCCAAGGAGAAAGCAGACGGCTCTGCCAACCGTGGGCTCTGCCTGGGGGGATAGAGAGCAGGTTCGGGCTTGCGTGGTAGCTGCTGGGCCAGCTGCCCCCATTCAGCTCTTGTCCCTGTTCAGCTGCTGTCATCTTAACGGTGGAGTCAGAGGACGAGGAGGAGAGTGACAGTTCGGAGACAGAGAAGGAAGATGACGAGGGGATCATCTTTGTGGCTCGGGCCACCAGTGAGGTTCTCCAGGAGGGCAAAGTCTCAGGTAATGGCTTCCCCTGCCCGCTCCCTCTGGAGCAAGCTACAGCTGCATAGCTGCCTTCCTCTGCCTTCTCTCTGGGCCGCTTCTTCTACTCTGACTTATTCACCACCCAGGAATGACTGAAGGTCTCCTTGTATCAGACCCCAGACATACATGATTGGATTCACTCCTTCCAACAAACAAGATGGGGAAACTGAGCTCATAGAACTAAAGGGACTTGGGACTTTTCCAGTGTCCCACAGCAGACGCAGAGCTTGAACCTGCCCCATCTGATTGCAGAGCCCACAGCCTTTGCCCAGCCTCGCTGGCAGTCTGTTGAGGAATAGGAAGCGACTAGCAAACCTGACTCTGTTGCACCCAAGTTCAGCAAACCTTCCCTCAGGGAGAGCCCCCAGGGTGGCAGCCTAAATCCTAAATCCATCAAAACGAATTTAGAGGGAGGAGTCTAAATCCATCCACATAGAGTTATGGGGGCTAAAAAACACATGGGGACACCTAACTCAATGCTCATCCTCACTGCTACTTGGCTCAAGCACCCTCATGTTTTTAAAAAATATTTTATTATAGAAAATTTCAAAATGCACCAGATACCACAGTAAAGGAAACTCTCATTGATCCATTACCCAGCTTCATTGATGACCCACCTATAACTGATCTTATTTCATCTCACCTAAGCCTATCTCCTCCCTGGGTTCTTTTGAAGTAAATCTCAAACATCCCATCATTGTATCAGTAAATACTTCAGCATCATCTCCAAAAGATAAGGATTTTCTTAGAGAATATAACCCTAATACCGTATCATATCTAAAACGGGTGTCTTCAAATGGCCAAAAACTGGTCAGAGTGCCCTGATTAATTTTTTTTTCTATAATTTGTTCAAATAAAAATCCAGCAAGGCCCACGCATGGCATTTGGGCGACAGGTCTTTTTCCGTCTCTAGCACTACTCCTCAAGTGGTTCTCAAGGAGGCAGTGGAGAGATTTTTTTCCCCCCAGGGGACACTGGGCGATGTCTGGAGATATTTTTGGTTGTCAGAACTGGAGGTATGGGCTTGCGCTGAGTGGGTGGAGGCCGGGGATGCTGCTAAGCATCCTACAGTGCATGGGACGGCCTCTCACAACAAAGAAGGTACCTGTTCCAGCATGTCAGTGGGGTCAAGCTTGACTTATCGGTCTCTCCCACCTACTTCCTTTTCCTTAACAGCTATTTAGTGAAAGAACCTGGTTATCTGTCCCACAGTCATTTCCAATCTCCCGATCTGGGTTTTGCTGCTTGCATCCCCAAGGTGGTGTTTAACATGTTTCCCTGCCTCTTATTTCCTTTAAACCAGTCATTAAATCTAGATCAGATTTCCGTTCTAATTTTTGGTCTGAATACTCTGTAGGTGGTGGTGGCCGTGGGCTACTGATTACATCACATCAGGAAGCACATGCCATCTGGCTGTTTTTCTGGGCTATTAGCCTGAGCCACCCATTGTCAAGTTCCCCATCAGCTTTTCATCACATGTTTTTTTATTGATGATCTGATCCAACATGTTGCTAGAGCCAACATTTTATTAGGGGTTGCACAATGGTGTTATTCTACATCTATTTTTTCATCTTCATTTATTAGGAATTCTCCTATGAAGAAAAAATTCTGCATGGTAATGACTCATATTTTGAGATACATTTCATACAGGAAAGAATGAATAAATGCTTGGTTTTTTTCCATTTTTATTTATCAATTTTTAGATCGATCAGTTAGTTCTCTAGCATCCTCCAAAGACGAATACTGAAGTTTTTTCTTGATCTAGTTTCGTTTGGCATTGTTAAAACGGACTAGTTTGGATCTTTCGAGAGCAGTAGTTTTACTTTCAATCTTGGCATCCATACCTCTCATAACATGCTCGCCCAAGTGTATTGGACTATGTAGCATTTATCAATGAGCAGACATACACTGAGCACCTATTAAATGCAAGACACTGCTCAACTTCGGAGAGCAGGGGCTGATGGGTGAGTGCCAGAGGGTTTCACTTTCCCAGGTTTCCTCTCTGAGGACCTCAGCCTTCCTGTCATGGAGTGGCTGAGCCTTCCCTCCTGGCTGCCAGTGATTCTGGGCTCCTCAGCTCATATCTCTTCTGTTCTGTCTTCCCTGTTGTGGCCCGGCCTTGGCCTGCTATTAGGTTTGCATGAGCTCATGTTCCTGGGGTTGGTGGGAGCTCAGGCAGGGTGCCCAGCTGCAAAGCCTTTGGCTTCTTTGCCCTCCCTGCCATTGCATCCTCGCTGCTGTCTGGGATGGGCTTGGTGGGATGTGGTTTCTGAGGCCGGTGCCGCAAGAGGGTGGGGACTGAATGCACGTGGGGCTTCTCTCCTGCCTGTCTCCTGCTTTCTCCTGGTTTAGTTATTGACACTTGTTCAGCAGGTATTTGTTAAGCAAGTACTATGTGCCCGGCCCCATGCTAGGTGCTAGCAGTTCCACAGAGAGCAAAGCCAGTTGTGTTTCCCCTCAGCAAAGCTTTCATCAAATTCACCAAAGAATCGCATAAATAGATGTTATATAGCAACTGGGGGATGAATTAATTCATGAAAATGTGCTTATACTTGGAAGGGCTCTGCTGTGTCAGTAACGAGCTCCTGTGTACTCTCTGTCCCCAGGGAGCCTCGAGGTGTGCCCGAGCCCACGCATCATCCCCCCGTCCCCGACCTGTGCAGAGAAGGAGCTACCCTGGAAGAGTGGGCAGGGGGAGCTGGCGGTCTACGTGTCCTCAGAAACCACAAAGATTGTGCCCGTGGACATGCAGACAGGCTGGAACCAGAGCATCTCGTCCCTGGAGAGCCTGGCATCCCCGCCCTGTACCCAGGCCCCGACTCTGAGCCGCCTGCCTCCCCGCCCACTGGCCGCCGAAGAGTCCCAGGCCCCTCTCGACATGCCTTCTGATCCCCGCTCTAGCTTCGCCTTTCCACCGAGCCTGGCCAAGGCGGGCCGCTCTCGCAGTGAGAGCAGCGCTGACATCCCCCGGCAGCAGGAACTGCAACCCCTCATGGGACAAGAGGACCACACCCATCTCAGCCCAGGCACCGCCAACTCCCACTGGTGCATCCAGTTCAACAGAAGTGGCCGGCTGTAGCCCAGGGAGCTGGGGAGGAGCGGGAGGCGGGAGCTGCGGGGGGAGTGTTCCCTGGGCAAGGCGCTGTGGAGCCCACCCAGCCTGACGTGGGGCCAGAGGGACCTGGACTGAAGTAGCAACAACTGGGCCTCCCTGGGTGGGTCAGAAGGATGTCCTGGGCTGCTCTTCACAGGGACCCTTTTCACCACCCTGCCTGCTCCTAACCCTGCCACCTTCCCTTTTAGTATAGGCCCTGACACTGCTCAAGACCTGGTGCAGAGCTTCTAGGGGCTGGGCCGAGACTTGAAGAGCTGATAACCTTCCCCAGCGGGTCCTCATGGAGTCACCCTAGGCAGCTGTCCTGCCCCCAAAGCAAGGGCATCATTCCTCAGCTGACGCTGGTCTTTCTTGCCCTCCATCCCCTGTCCAGCACCAGGTCAAGGACAGTGCCCTGGCAACAAGGTTTGGTGAGGGGCTGGTCCTCAAAGGCATGGGGGTGGGTGGTGGAGTAGGCCTCAATCTTGACCTTCGTTGCCCTGTTGGGTCAGCTCCCCATAACTGGTTTAGTTTTAGTTTTTTTTTGGGCAGTGGGAATCTGTCTCCACTTTATCTCCTTCCCTCTGCTGCCAGTTATTGGGGTGATAGTTTTCTTTTTCCAGGACCAAGGCCACAGGGCTGGGCCAGGCTCCAAGCCAGGGCTGCTTCTAAGCCAGGGTCACTCTGGGGATCTGCTGCTCTGCATTCACGTCTGGACCTTTCTGGGTCTAGGTTTTCTGAGGCACGGGAGACGGTGGCCTCTGAGGTCTCAATTACCACCTTCACATTCCCCAAACAGGAAAGGAACCAGGTGCCCCAGGGCCCCTGCCCCACTGCTCCGAGGGCTGGGCTGGCTGGCCGCAGAGGTAAGGAGGCTGACTGCTGGCAGGTGCTGGCAGAGGTTAGCACCTGCCCTGCGTTTTGTACCTTGAACCTGAGATACATTAAACATCTCTCAGATGGATGGGTGATCTGTGTCCGTGTGTCTAGGGGTTCTAGGCTCAGGGAGGAGGGTGTTCTAGGGGCCCAGAGGGGTACAGGGGTATCTACTGGAGGAAGTGGAAACTTCCAGAGGCTGACTCCGGGCTTCTAGAATAGAGAGTGGAGGGGGTCTTGGGGAGAACAGTTAAGCTCTCTGGCTCTCCCTCCCCCTCCCCCACCCCTTCTCAATACTGTCCCCTGAGCTGAGCACCCAGGTGGCAGTCCAGGGAGGTTGTCACTGTATGGGCTTGGGGTCACAGAACTGGAAGGCTACAGAATGGGAATGGTCAGGAAGGAAAGAGACCCTAGCGGTCAAGCGCCAAGGTGGCCAAAGATGTGGCCCCCACACACCGGGACGACATTAGTGGTCTGGAAAACCCGGGACAGGCACAGAACTGATCTGCATGGTGGGTGCGAGGCAATCTCAGGGTGCTGGGTACCCTGAGTGATTACCAAATTGGGCAGTGTGGGGGCCACAAACATGGCTCGAAATCCCTGAGTAACAGCAGTCTCAGATTCAATCCCCACTGTGTCTGGAGGGCTTTTAAAAGAACACATTTATCGAGATATAATGCACATACCATAAAACTCACCTGTTTCTAATGCACAGCTCAGTGGTTTTAATATATTCAGAACTGTGCAACTCTCATCACACTCTAAGTTTAGAACATTTTCACTGTCCCCAAAAGACACCCCGTCCCCATTAGCTCTCCTCGCCCCCTGCCCTGCCCAGCCCTAGGTTTTCACTAACCTACTTTCTGTCTCTGTAGATCTGAATGACTCTTGACCTGCTGTGAAAGCTACATATTTGGTCAACAGACATTCCTTGCTTTTCACCAGGGGTATTACACGTGAGGAAGAGGGAGAATGGCTTAGGCGTTGCCCTCAGGCCTTCAGCAGTGATTGGGCCTAGGAATTCACAGCCCCCACTGTCACTCCCTAGCTATGTCATTGTAGGCATGTCACCTCCTCTCTCTGAGCCTCACTGTCCTCATCTCTAGTGTCCTGTCAGAAGAATCTAGTACCGAGTCTGGCCTGTGGTAAGGCATCGTAACTCTTTCTCTTTATTGGTCTTACCCAGCATGACAATGATCAGGGAGAAGGGGTCCTTGAGGAGATCTGAGAAGGTCCTGGGAGGAATTGTGCCTGCATGGAGGGGTACAGACAGCACGGGCAGAGTTGGGAGGGTGCATTCCAGGCAGAAAGGAGTACAGGAAGAAAGGATGCCGGGAGCACATATGGTGGAAAGCAGGGAGCAGAGGGGTTTGGGGTTGGAAGACACCAGCCAGGGACTGGTGGGGAGACCCTGCTGAGTATTGGGGGTGGTAGAGAGCTGGGAGAGTTGTGAGGTGGGCAGTGGTGTAGGCTGTGATGTGCTTTGGGGGGCTCAGATGTAGCCGCTCTCAGGCGGAAGACGTGAAACCCCAGCCGGGAGATGGATTGGTAGACAAACATCTAGAGGTGAAAGTCCTGTTGCTCGAGCAGCCCAGGGCTGGTGCTGGAGAGAGCAGGCGGTCATTTCCAGACTTAACGTCAGAATCACTGGGGAGCATGTCAAACGTGCAGATTCCTGAGCCTACCCTAAAGGTTCTGACTCAGCAGGCCTGTGGGGGCCCAGAAGTCAGTAACCTTAACCAGCATCCTGGAGGGAGGTGGGCCACAGACCACATCCTTCCAGAATTATTGGATTAGTAAGGCTGTAGAAACCAAATCAAAAAACAACTCCCTGGGGCTGGGAGTGGTGTAGGGGAGGGGCAGCAGAGGGTCTCCTGGAGCTGGGTAACCAGGAGCTGCAGCACTCCAGCAGAGAGTTGGTCAGAGATGAACAGACAGGTCTAGACAAACAGGTATCTGGGATACAGGAGAGCAAGTGAGTCAAGGGTGGTTTGCCTGACTGGGCAGGATGGCAGAAATGGCTTCTGTGCCACATGAGATGCACCCAGGTCTTGAAGGAGAAAGGATTTTGACTGGGGGAGATGGGTGTGGGCATTTCTGGTAGAGGAGACAGTTGGAGACAAGCCCCACAATGAGATGAATTTTCCAGAGCCAGGAGCTGGACAGAAAGCTGTGGGTGTGCTCAGATGACCTTGAATGTCACACTAACGAGTCTGGAGTTTACGTAGGCCAAAGGCGAAAGGGGTTTGGAAGGTCTGGGGTGCATATCACCTTCCCTGTCTGAAGCTGTACGGAAGAAAGGTTTGCAAGGTGTGGAGAGGCTGTGGGTCTCTGGTCACTAGGTCCACGAGGCACAGAACTCCCATTTAATTTCTGATGGATCTGTGTTGGCAAGGAATGGGAGGCTGAGGGAGGGTTGAGGGGCAGGGGAGGGAGGTCCAGCCCCATTCTATGATCTCAGTGGAAAAGGCTGCTGTGGAGTAGATTCTACTGCCAGGGGAGCCACAGAGATGAGCCCCATGAGTCACAGCTGAGTCCTGCAAGCTCAGCCCACAGAGCCTGCTGAGGTCAGGCATCCAGGCTGGCTCTAGGCCCCAGTGCTCCCCACTGGGCCTCAGTCTGCCCCCATTTCTCTCTGGATCTTTGCCATCTTAGGTCATTCATCCTGCCTCTTCTGTGTGCCTTTTGGACTGAGCTTCTCCACTTGTGACCTGGCTCATGTGGGGGGCCTTGGGAGGGCAGGGTGGGGTGGCCAGTCTCAGTTTGGTCAGAATAAGCACTTATCCTGTGCTAGGTCCTGTGCTGGGTTCTGGAAGCATAGGCGTGGACAAGACAGAGTCTCTGTTTTCATGAGCTTACAATGCACATTCTACATGGAGTGAATGAACCAGGGCCTGGGCCTGGCCCTGACTGTCTGCCTGTTCCCAGGGGTGCTGAGGTCAGCTCTAGCCTGTGGCTTGCAGCTTCTTATTTGCCCCTGGCATTGGAGGGGTATGTGCGCCTGCCCCTGCCCCCACCCTCCAGCTCTTTGGGCTCCTGGGAAACCTGACTGGTGGGGAGGGAGGGCACACAGTGGGCAGCAGAAAGGGAGGGAGGGAGCAGGCAGCAGTGACTCAGTGGGGTGGCCCTGGGACAGCTGGGGAGGGAGCCAAGGTTGGGCCCGATGCTCATTGAAGCTAGGGGAAGGTGGCAATGGAGCCAGACAACTCCCAGCTGAACAGCCCATGAAGGCTCCTGGGTAGCTGGCCTGGGAGTCTGGAGTCTGGGGGCTGATGTGGTAGCTGGAATGGGGCAGGGAGGGGAGGAGACTGCTGTTCCTACCGCACCTCCTCCTGATGCCCAGGTTGCCTCATAAAGGGGGCTCTTTCCTTAGAGCCAGAGAAGCCAGGACGCCCATTCCCCACTCCCCCACATCTCGCCTCCTGCCCTAGGAGCCGGGCATGCTGTGGGCACAGTACCTTCTGCCACAGGAGACTTCCCACAAACTGGGTAGTGTGACCAGACCCACATGCCCCAAAAGGGCCTCACACCTCAGATTTGGGAGGGATCTCACAGGTGAATAACCCAAATGACTTTCACCAGGATCCCCTGACTGGGGGCAAAGAGAAAGGCAGGGCACCAACACAGACGGAACAGAGCCAGAGAGCTGGCAGCGAGCCGAGGTTTGACACAGGATCTCCCCCAGCCCTCCTGTCAATCCCAGGAGAAAGGAATGACTTCTCTTCCCCCTTTTTTCCTCATAGGTGAGGCTCAAAGAGAACAGGGTTGCTGGAGCTCACCCAGCAGGTAAGTGGAGGCCTGGGTTAGTGTCTCTTTGGTTTCAGGACCAGAACCCAGCCTCCTTGGGTGGACCTAGTGTGTCCTTTGTGGGGTGGGCTGGGGTGGGAATTGGGATATGTACGTGTCAGAAGTAATCCTGGTGGACTGGTGGACCTGGCAGGCCTCCCAGCCTAGAAGCCTCATTGTCCCCTCTTCGTCCAGGCCAGACAGCACCCCCATCCCTCCAGGGATCACACAAGTTGTATCCTGGTGTTTGGGCTTGGGGTCTGCAAGGAAAGTGGCGGCTGCAATGAGGCCCCTCTGTGAATACAAGCCCACGGGCTCCCAGCACCCCAAGCATCTGGCCTGAGCTCAGGCAGTTGCTCTTTCTAGGGAGCCTTTGTGACTAAGGGCTCAGGCTTTTCTTTCTTCTTTGACCATGAGGAATGAGTGCGTCTGGTGGGGCAGAGGCAGCCGGTCAGGCTGCGCACCCCAGGCTTGCACAGAGCAGAAGCGCCCGCAAGGCCCTTCCCCGCCCCAGGCGGCCCCAGGCGCTCACTCACCCTGTCGCTCGCCCCTTCCCCAGCCTCCCAGGGGTGAGCTTCCAGCGCCCTTGTCCAGGCTCGGCAGCGGGCACGGCCGGTGCGGTCTTGGGTCGCTGCCCCTGCGGCTGAGGCGAGGCCGACGGGTGGGCGCGTGCCCCGCGGGACCCCGGGGCTGGGAGCTGGGGTGCAGCCCAGCCTTTTGCTGCCGTCGGGCGAGGCGCGGAAGCTGCGGCTGCGTCCTCCCGCCGCCAGGGGGCGCTGCGGCGCCGCGGGCCCGGCGCCCGCGTTTCCTCCCCCGCGGCCGGGAGGCGGCGCCCGAGCACGCCGGCCGCGCGCTGTCCCCGCCGTCGAGGCGGCGCGTCGGAGGGCGGCTGCGCGGCGTCCCGGGGCGTCGCGGTTCCCCACGGCGGGCCCGGGGCGGGGTGCGCGTGTGGCGCGCTCGAGGGGTCGGGTCGGGGAGGCGAGGCCCGGGCCGGGCGGGGTCGCCGCCTGATTGAGGCCCGCAGAGACTGGCGTTGGGGCGCGGAAGGTGGGGGCCCACGTGAGCGGAAGGTGGGGGCCCACGTGAGCGCCCATAGGGGATGGCGGGTGTGGGCAGAAGGAAGACCCAGCCGTTCTCTCCTCTCTTCTCTTCAGGCCTGAGCTGCTGGCGCGTCTGTGCCCCCCGTACCCCGGCACCGAGACTGGCATGTCTCACGGGCTGGTGCTTCCTCCTGCATCGCCCACCGACCCCTGCCCGTCGTCTTCACCCCGGCTCCTGGATGAGTGGGGGCTCAGTTCATAGTCAGACTCCCACGTGCGCTGAGCAGACCTGCTCTTAAAGAGGGGGTGATGGAAGGGCCCTTGAAGGGTGGGGATGAGTCCCCAGACTCCCAAGGCCACGCCGCCGACTGGAGGTTTGCTGTATGCACTTTTAGGGATGCCTTGGACGAGGAGGAACTTGCTCCCCAGGGACAGGTCAAGGGCCCTGGGCCTCCAAGACCACCAGCAGGGGCAGCTCAGGGTGAAGGGCTACATGGCAGCTGCCTGCCTGGGGACCTGCAGTCACCCCCAGGGCAGATGGCTGCAGATGGGTCAGGGGATGGCCAGAGGGGCATATTAGGAGGTTCTTCAGTCCAGTCAGAAGAACCAGCCACTTCTGATGTGGAGAGCCTCCTGTGCCCAATGTCCGTGCACCTTAGCCTGGCACAGGGAGAGAGGGACAGCCCTGGGGGAGGCTTGGCAGGGGACCCAGTTCCAGGCAGGCCAGTGCCGGTCAGCTTGGGCGGTGGGGAGTTGGATAACAACTCTGTGAATCTTGGAGACTCCTTATCTGAGACCTCGTCAGAGCTGCTGGAGGCAGGTAAGGGAGGCAGGGCCAGGGAAGTCTTGGGAGTGGGGTTGCCTGGAGGGAAGTGCTAAGACTTGGTGAGGCTGAAGCCCAGGTCCAAGGCGGGGTCTGAGGGTAGGTGGCCCAATGCAGACCCCAGCCATTTCCCTTCCCAAGACCCCAGCAAATCCCAGGACTGCAGTAAATCCAAATTTCCTAAGCCGGCTGACTACCTCCTGGCCCAAGACCTCACCTGGGAGCTGCTGTCCAGTGGCATGGCTGCCTTGCCAGGTAGCCAGGAGGCACCAGAGGTGGTAGAGGTGGGGTGACTCGATTGGTCAGGTGTTCACTGACTTCTCTCCATAGGAACTCGGGATGTAAACGGCCGGGCAGTACTGCTTCTGTGTGCCCACAGCCCAGCCTGGCTTCACCCCAAGTGCAGCAGCCATGAAGTCATCCGCCTTTTGCTGTACCTGAGAAGCATCCCCAGGTTGAGGGGGGAGGAGGTTGGGGGACAGAGCCTGAGACAGGAGGTGGCCGGCTCTGGCAGTAAGGTACTGAACCAAAGCTTGCCCCTTTAGGCCCAAAGTGCAAGCCTTGGGACTGACGGTGCTAGTGGATGCCCAAATTTGTTCCCCGAGTTCTTCCCTCTTCTGGGGGCTTAGCCAGCTGCAAGTGAGTACGGTATTATAACCCCTTCTCATGCCTCCTCATATTCACACACCCCATTCCTTTTGTGTAGGGTTAGGGTGGGCTGAGCTCAGATTCCTTGCAGGAAGCAGCCCCAGGGTCAGTGCACCAGGTACTGCTTTTGGGAAAAATGCCAGAGGAGATACCTTCAGCACTGCAGGTACTGAGCCATATTCACCAGGGATGAAAGTAGGGTGTTCCCCATTAGGCCTGGATCACTGCACCTTCTTTCCTTGCAGCTAGAGCAGCTGCCCTCGTCTGAGAGCTTGCTGACACACATCTCTGCTTTGGGGTTGCCTGCTTCACTGGGAGGAGGCTTACCTTACTGCCACCAAGCCTGGCTGGACTTCCGGATGGTCAGTGTGGGGTGGGGCACAGGGTGGGTACATAGGCAACTCGGCCTGCAGAGCAGCTTCTTCTGGGGTGATGTGAGCAGTGCAGAGATGTTCGTGGAGGCTTGAAATCCAGGATGGCTGGATGAGCACCATGCATTGCTCAGGTCAAACCTGCCCTTTCTCACAGCGTCTGGAAGCCCTGTTGCAGAGCTGCCAGGTGGTTTGTGCCCTGCTTCAGGGGGCCATCGAGAGCATGAAAGCTGTGCCCCAGCCTGTGGAGTCTGGGGTAAGTATCCCCCCCAAGGCCTGTCCAAATACTCCGTCTCCTTTTCATCCATGTCACCTCCACCTCCACTACCTGTTGCTGTTAATCACAGGAAGTCAGTCAGCTGCTACGGCAGGCACAGGTCCTGATGCAACACGTGTTAGATTCGCCACGGCTGGCATGGCTGCAATGCCAGGGGGGTTTGGAGCTGTCATTGCTGAAGCAGGAGGTCCCAGAGGTGACCCTAAGCCCAGACTACAAGTAGGTGTCAGCCCATCTCCCTGATGTTGCCCCAACCTAACATATCCCATATCAATGATTCAGTTGACTGCTCAGAACCAGCCAGGATTGTGGTCCCAGGATAGGGTGTAGTGGAGCAAGGCAGCTGGCAGAAACCTTAAGACCTGGTACCCTGTACTAGGCCGGCGGTGGATGAGGTGGACAAGCTGTATGGCCATGTGGATGGACTGCTGCACCAGCTGACCCTGCAGAGTAACCAGCGCATACAGGCACTCGAGTTGATCCAGACACTGGAGGCCCAGGAGAGCGGGCTGCGCCAGGTGGGAACTGTGCACCTCGGTGGGCCTTGTTCCCCACCTCAGACGTCATGCCTACCACACAGCAGCTCTTCGTTCCCTGTTTGTGTCCCTCCAGATTGAGATGTGGCTGCAGCAGGTGGGCTGGCCTGCACTGGAGGAGCCAAGGGAGCCCTCACTAGACATGCTGCTCCAGGCCCAAGGCTCATTTCAGGAGCTGGACCAGGTAGCCCAGGTGAGTGTGGGCACTTACACCTTCTGTAAGTGCCAGGATCCCTTGCCACGCACTGTGAATGTGGATAAAAGCAAACCTATTCTTTGCTCTCAGAATCTGTAGTCCATCAAAGGTTGAAGTCATGTGTGTGTGTTTGCAAACTGAGGTAGGAGCTGTGGAGAGAAGCAATGCAGGTGATTCTACCTTAATGTGAAAGACATGATAGAAAGGGTGTTGGACAAGTTTTCTTTTAAAAAAAAAAAAAGATTTATTTATACATACCAGAATGGAGGTAAAGGCCAGAGGTGTGGGGGTGAGCGGATTCACCAGAGACAGAGTAGGGAGCAGAATAGGCAGATTGAATGAAATACACTGCTGAGGGGAGCAGCAGGCGAGGCAGGAGAGGTCTGCTGTGCTATGTGGGTTGCTTCCTGGCCGGGAATTGAACTCGTGCTGCAGTGGCTGTGGTTAGATTCATAGTTTGCATCTTAACCTCTTATGCCACCAGGGAGGCCCCAAATTTTCTTGATAGTGACTTGAACTGAGCTGAGAATTGGTCTGGGGGAGTGGGCGGTGTAAAGAATGGGGCGTGAAGGGAAGGTTTCCTATCACAGCGTGTAGATGTCAATGGAAAAGACCTGGGCTCTGAGCTTAGAACAGCAGACCTGGCCAGTTGAGTGCAGTCTCTGTCTCCAGGAACAGGTCAGGCGAGGAGAGAAGTTTCTACAGCCACTGACTGGCTGGGAGGCAGCTGAACTGGGCCCCAGGGGTGCCCACTTTCTGGCTCTGAAAGCCCAACTGACTGAATTCTCTAGGGCTGTGGCCCAGCGGCGGCAGCGACTGACAGATGCTGAAAGGCTGTCACGTTTCTTCAAGCAGGTGGGTGAGGGGTCCTGTCCTTGAATCCAGGTGGTCAGTGGAGTGAGGGGAGTGACTGTCCAGCTCTACCAGAGACTGCAATTTTTCATAATCCTGCTTGTGCTTGTTTTCAGTCTAACCCCAAAATTCAACCATTGGAGCCAGCCAACATGCTGCAGGGTTGGGGAGGGTCGCAGAGAAGGCACTGTGGTCTCAGTGGAACCCTCCTTCACTGCCTTTGTGTTGCAGGCTTCCACATGGGCTGAGGAGGGGCAGCGGGTATTGGCAGAGCTGGCACAGGAGTGCCCTGAGGTCGTGCTCCAACAGCTGCAGCTGCACTGGACCAAGCACCCTGACTTGCCTCCTGCCCATTTCCGAAAGATGTGGGCTCTGGCCACGGGGCTGGGTTCTGAGGGTATCCGCCAAGAGTGCCGCTGGGCCTGGGCACGATGCCAGGACACCTGGCTGGCCCTGGACCAGAAGCTAGAAGCTGCGCTAAAGCCACAACCATCAGCAGGCAGCACAGCCAGCCTAGGTGTCAGCCAGGTCCCAGGTGCGCCTGCCACCCCTCCTCCGAGGAAGGCTTATAGCCTTGATCGAAACCTGCGGTGGAGTCTCAGCAAGTCTGCCCGCTCCTGCCATCATGCGGCAGCCACTGTGACTGCTGGCCATGGACCAGAGCCTGGAGGCGGTGCCCAGCCAGGGTCATATTGCACCATGCAGCCACCAGGCAGCCCTGACCCTAGGAGCTCAAGCAGGTGCAGACAGTGGGCAGGGCAGGGAGGGCAGTGGCAGGGCAGATGTTTGGGTCTTGATTCCACCTGCCTTGTAGGCTCCAGCTGGTGCTGGCAGAGATGGTGGCTACAGAGCGGGAGTACGTCCGTGCCCTGGATTACACCATGGAGAACTACTTCCCTGAGCTGGATCGCCCTGATGTGCCCCAGGGCCTCCGTGGTCAGCGCACCCACCTCTTCGGCAACCTGGAGAAGCTGCGGGACTTCCACCGCCATTTCTTCCTGCGTGAGCTGGAGGCTTGCACCCGGCACCCGCCCCGTGTGGCCTATGCCTTCCTGAGACATGTAAGCGCCATGGGCCACAGGCCTCCAAGTGATTGTGCCACATTCCACAGAGAGCCATTGAGCACATGCTTGGTGACAGGTGTACAGGTGTACAGCTTTCAGTGAGACCAGCAAGGCCCCCACCCCTCAGGGATCTCATAGTTTAGTGGAAGAGACATAAAAGTGAAAAAGGTTATTCCATATTATAGCTGCAGCTGGGAGAGGGAAAAAGCAGACTAGACAGGTGCTTGTGAGTTAACTAAGGGGGATACCCCCTTCAGACAGAGTAGTTAGACTCTTGAGGCGCTACCTTTGAGCAGAGGCCAGGTGGAGGGGCTGGAGTCAGAGCGCGGCATCCAAGGGGAAGGTTAAGTACAAAGCCATGGGCAGGAAGGAGAGGCCCAGTGCTCAAGGGGCTGGGCTTGGTAAGGAAAGGAGGGTTGAGGTGAGGTGAGGCTCAAGCAATATTCTCAGAGCGACAGAAAGAGCAGAGCTGGACACAGGCCCCATTCCTCAGAGGGCCTGTGGGCAGGTCCCCCCTCTGCACATACCTTGTCTTGTCAGATCGCCCCTCATGTAGTGCAGGGCAGATAGAATCTGCAGGGGAAGGTGTCCCTGGGAGCCATCTTTTGGCATAGTCCTCTCAAGCTGAGGGTGATGTGGCCTCATTGCCCCCCGCCTGAGCTCTGTGTCCTCACAGAGGGTGCAGTTTGGGATGTACGCACTCTACAGCAAGAATAAACCTCACTCTGATGCCCTGATGACCAGCTATGGGCACAGCTTCTTCAAGGTAAGTGAGCCTGAGACCAGGGGGAGGGAGGCAGGAGGGAGTACCCTGAAGCTGCCTGATGGTCTCCTGGCCACCTGGCAGGACAAGCAGCAAGCGCTGGGGGACCGCCTGGACTTGGCCTCCTACCTGCTGAAGCCCATCCAGCGCATGAGCAAGTATGCCCTGCTGCTGCAGGAGCTGGCACGGGCCTGTGGTGGGCCCGTGCAGGAGCTCAGTGCCCTGCAGGCTGCCCAGAGCCTCGTGCACTTCCAGCTGCGCCACGGCAATGACCTCCTGGCCATGGATGCCATCCAGGGCTGCGATGTGAGTCTTCAGCCTGTGGTGGGAGAGAAATGAAGGGAAGGGGTGGAAGAGACTGGGTACCCACTGGGCCCCAACTTGACAGGTTAACCTCAAGGAACAGGGGCAGCTGGTACGGCAGGATGAATTCATGGTGCGCTGTGGGCGCCACAAGTCCCTACGCCGCATTTTCCTCTTTGAGGATCTGTTGCTCTTCAGCAAGCCTCGTCGAGGACCCACAGGCGTTGACACATTTGCATACAAGCGCTCTTTCAAGGTAGGCCTGCCTGGCTCCACCCTCTGCCCTCTGCTGTCCCAGACCCACACTCCGCCTCACGTAGCATCTCTCCGGGCCACACAGATGGCAGACCTTGGCCTCACTGAGTGCTGTGGGGATAACAACCTGCGTTTCGAGATCTGGTTCCGTCGTCGCAAGGCCAAGGACACCTTTGTGCTGCAGGCCACCAGCTTGGCCACCAAGCAGGCTTGGACAGCTGACATCTCCCGCCTGCTCTGGAGGCAGGCTGTCCACAACAAGGGTAGGTTCCTATCCCTTTATTCATCCCATGCTCCGTTCTCCCCGGAGAGTTTGCAGGAGACCTTGGGAGGAGGTCCAGCAGCAGTGGCCAATATGGAGGAAAGAATTTCAAAATCAGGCAGTCCCGGCTGCTGTCAGTGACTGCGGACCCAGCAGAGGCCTTGTCTTGTCTTTGAAAACGAATTGTGACACCTGCCCATGGGGTTGTTGGGAGGAGGGAGCCTGGCAACAGAAAGGCTCAGTTCACAGGAGGCGATTCTGTCGGGTATGGGTGTACAGGAGAGACTTATTTAAGGGGAAGGGGTGGTTAGAAGCCCACAGGCAAGGCTGATATCCAGAGAGGTCCTAGCTATGCTTATTCTCCACCCAGAGTTGCGCATGGCTGAGCTGGTGTCCATGGGTGTGGGGCGCAAGGCTTTCTGGGACATCGCCCCCAGCGAGGAAGCTATCAATGACCGCACCGTCAACTACGTCCTAAAGTGCCAAGGTAGCAGGGAGGCTGCAGGGCCAGGGTGAGGAAAGCTGTGTGGGAGGCAAGGAGACCTGTCAGCCCTGGTTGTGCGCCTCTTGGACTTTGGCCCAGATGTGCTTGGGCCTGTCCCAACCTGACCCTCTCTCTTACGCAGAAGTTCGCTCTCGGGCCTCCATTGCTGTGGCTCCGTTAGACTATGACAGTCCCTACCTGGGGGCCTCGAGCTCGCTTCCTGGAGACCCTGCTTCTTGCTCTGTACTGGGCTCCCTCAACCTGCACCTGTACAGGGACCCTGCTCTTCTTGGCCTCCGCTGGCCCCTGTATTCCACCAGCTTCTCCGAGGACTCAGCACTGGAGGCAGAAGCAGAGCTGGGTAGCCAGCAGTCTTTGAGTAGGTCTGGGCTTATCCAGAGGCAGGAGGGCTCGGCTTACAGTCTCGCCACCCTGCTGACAGCTCACCCAGTCTTCCTCCCTAGCTCCTGAGGATTCAGAGGTCTCCTCCCAGTGTCCGTCCGCCAGTGGCTCCAGTGGCTCTGACAGCAGCTGTATGTCAGGGCAGGCCCTGGCCAGAGGCCTGGAGGACTTATCCTATGTGAGTACCGTTTGTCCTCTCTGTACCAGTCCTCTCCCCAGTCCAGCCCAGGGCCTATGGCTGCCTTTTCTGAGGTGAAAAGTATGTGTGTATGAGAAAGAGAGAGAGAGAGAGAGAGAGATTGTTTTTGCTTCCCGGAGACCCTGCCTGACTCCTGAGCTGGGAATTAGGGATTCATGCTAACTTGGTACCACAGGTCTGAGCCTGGGCTCGAAGGCAGGGGGTGGATCCAGCAGCCTCTAACTTCAGGGAACACCACCTCTCTCTGGATCTGCGGTGACCAGGGCATGACTGGCACCTGAGACACCTCCAGCCCACACCCTTTTTGATGTCTGTGCTCACTGGACACACTGGTGGGGGCCTCTCCAGAGGAGTCTGGCAGCAGAGCCTGAATGAACACCCTGGCCCATGTGCCCTTCTTTCAGCTCCTCCTCTGCTAGGGGTTAGGATTAGGCTAGAGCAGAAGATAGGTGTTTCCATGCTATAGGCTGGAGGGGACACCAAGTGGCTCTGGCAGGGACTGGGCTGCCCCACCCCTCAGGAGGAACATAGTTGTGTTTCCAGCAGCTGCTTCTCAGGCCCCGGTCTCAGCCAAGTTCCCCAAATTTAGGAGTAAGCCCAGTTCTACGTAACCTTACTCTCACCTACCCTGGCTCCCCCAACACAGCCCCTTTTTTCATGGGTCGGTTGGCTTTATTGACTCAGCTTTCAGTTAGAGTTGTCTAAGATTATTTCACTGTTGTGTCTTTAGCATCCCAGAGAAGTAGTCCAGGCCCTTGACTTGTGATTTACTCTTTATTGTTCATAATAAAAATAGACTGCTACACACCCTTGCATGGGCACTTGCATTCTGGGGACATCCTCGGTTAAAATGAGCCTTGGCAGGTGGGCACAGCGTTCTCGGGGCACTCTAGCCCTCTTGTAAGTACTTGCCCAGGATCGAGTAAGAGACAGACCTAGAGAGGCCCCTCTGGATGAGCAGGTCCACGCAGCGGCCATATTTCCTGGCGAAAGGCAGTGTGAGCTAGAAGGAAAGGCTGGTCTTATCCCTCATTTCTTGGCCAGTTTCCTACTCTAGTTGTGGGATGGGGGTGGCTGGGGGCGGGGAGGGGGGTCCTCCCATCTAGGCAGGGTGGGACCAAGGCTAGATGGTGACTTCTGATGCTTTTGGGCTAAGTTCTGCCCAAAGGCATCTTATGGGATTGTGGATCCCAGTGCACTGAGCAGAATGTCCAAAGAGTCAAAATGCACATTTCCTGCCACTGGTTTTCTACTTTATAGGCATGACTGCATCTTTCCAAGTCTTGATGGTAATTTGCTACTAGGGTGTTCATGGTGAAATGTCCAAGTACACTTGATTACAAAAATACCACATTAATAATCAGCTAATTTTTTTTCACCTGTAGCATTAAAATAACATGAACCCTGTAATTATTTTAAGGAGTCAAAAAAAGCAAAACAAAATATCTGGGTCATTTATTTGCCCTTAATAAGAACTGCTTTAAAGCCTCTTAAATATAAAAGAAAATCATGGCTAAATAGGTGACAGAGTTGGTACCATGTGTTGAAAGTCTGACCTCCAGTTGTTTCTCTGATTTCAACACCCCTCATGCTCAGGTTCACATGCTAGGCTTTCTGGGAAGTTTGTTAGTGATGAAAGCAAAACTGGCATCATTGGAACCCTAAGAAAACCAGTGGCCCAAATACTGCTTTTTGACCACTCTGGACTGGTTCTGTCAGCCATTGTTCTCATCCCCTGGGGCCGGGGACAGAGGTCTGGCTGCCTGGCTTGCCTTCTGGACAGTGCGGCTCCGGCACTTGTGCACCAGATACAGTGTCCATGTGAGGTATCCACAGGGACTCCACCTGCCAAGGGATGCAGTTAGATCTCACCTCCACCCAGCTGTACAGGCGTTCCTGGGTGTGCCGATCATCCTTGAAGCCAGTTATGGCCAGCAAATCCACCACAAACTGCTTGGGGCTGATGTGCAGGGTCTGCCATGAGAGCCTATGGTCAAGAGGGGCTGGGGGCAGCTACCTGACACATTTGCTCAGACCTGCAGAGCAGGATGTAGAACAGGGTCTGTCCTGGGCCACAGAGGTCAGGGGACACTTATCACTCCAAACTGTCTCTTGGCCAAAGCTTGGTCCAGATGTTGCTGCCCTGTCTTCCTGTCCCTGTGCTTGTTGCCATCCTTCTGCCCCGGACCTGTTTCTGTTACCCTCCTACCCCAAATGTGGCTTACTTCCTCTTGCCTTGCAACACTTACTATTGGTGCAAGGGGACAGGCAGAGAAGGACTAAGGCCTGAAGCTATCACACCTACCCACAGCCGGTTGGCCAAGGAAACCACCTTGGCTGTGATGACTTTGGGGTCCTTTTGCCTGATGGAGTCCAGGATGATGTCGGTCAGGAAGCGGTGACATTTCTGTGCGTAAAACATCTCTTCCCAGGACAGAGAGAAACTAAGGAAAGTCACCTCTGTGGAGGAGAAAGAGTAGATGTGCTGCAGCTGGCTGAAGCCAGAGCCTTAGAGCCAGCCTGAGTTAGGGGAGAGGCCTGAGAGAGACTTATCTTCCCCAAAGGACCCTGGGTAGGGGTTCAGGCATCTCTATAAGGAAGTGCAGGGCTGGACATGGTGCCAGAGCTTCACCTTGGGGCTGGGGGCTGGCTGTGGGCGATGTGTGCCTGAGGTTGTCCATCTGTGTAGTGTAGATGATGCTGTCTTCAAAGAACATGCAGGAGCCATCACTTCCCACTACAGGGGGATGGGTCACCTTTAGGATGACCCCTGCATTGTCCACTTCGCTGGCCTCAGGCAGAGGCTGCTCAGGGCTGGGGCTTTCTGTGAAAAAAGTAAACACAGGGAGTGACACTAACTTCACTACCTCAGAACCCAAGTAAGGAAAGGGACCTTTGTTAACAGACCAGTATAGTGACCACCCACCCTCCAGCAGCTGCTACCTCCAGTTTCTTGGAAGTAGTACCCTGGACCTGCCCTGGCTCTCTTGTGTTCACTGTTCTGGAATCCTTGAAAGACAAATCCTAAATTTCAGAACTCCAGGGAACTCTCTTAATTCCTCTGTTGAACTAAGAGCGGTATCAAACAGGGCCAGTAATCCTGCTGAGGACTGGAAATCTTTGCAAAACTGTAAAATGAGAGGGCCTTTTTGGGCAAGCCTTTTATGCATGTCCACTCTGAAAGGTACTCTTCACAGACCATTTTACAGACCATCAGGGCCCCTCCAAGCAGGGTGTGAGCCACTTTAACAGAAGGTGACAATGCTATAGGAAGGACTTCGAGGGAGCAGAGGAAAAAGCCCATTGTGGCAGTTATTACATCCCCCGGGACTGTCTCCACACCCCTCTCAGCCCCCTCCTCTCAGGCCCTATCTCCCGGTCACCTCCCTCTGGCTGTTCCTCAGCAACCTCAATGCAATGTGTCCTCTCTAAGACCTCCTCGTATTCATCCCAGTCATCGCCCAGCCCCCTTGCAGTCACCCAAGATGGACATTTGGTTCCTCCTTGACTCAGTCCTTGCCTGCTTCCTCCCTCAACTGCCTACCCCATTTTATCTAGAATGATGTTGGGGTTTCTAACACTCCCCCTCCTGCTGCATTTCCTCTGTTCCCGAAGCAAGCTTTCTGAGTGCACACCTGATTGCTTGTTCCCTTGTTTCAAATGCTTCAGTGTGGGCCCCCCTGTGGCACAAGGGGTTAAGTACAGCACTGGGAACTGTCTGCAGCCTCTGCAGCACGAGTTCGATCCCTGGCCAGGGAGTTACCCACATGGCGCAGCAGACCTCTCCTGTCTCCCTGCTGCTCCCCTCAGCAGTGTATTTCTGTCAGTCTGCCTGTTCTGCTCCCCACTCTGTCTCTGGTGAATCCTCTCACCCCCCACACCTCTGGCCTATACCCCAGTTTTTGTATGCATCAATAAATAAATCTTTAAAAAAAAAAATGCTTCAGTGGCTGTCCATTTCCCTTAGGATCAGTACAAAGTGCTAGGCCCTGAAGTTGGTACACAAGACCTGTCCTGCTTATGTATGTCTTCAGCCTTATCTCCCACCACTTCCATGTGAAGTCTGGTCTCCAGCTAGGCCACAGCTTGCTTCTCCTTCCTCCCCTTGTTGAGTCCCCAGTCTCGTGCTCCTACTACTTCACAGACACCCTCTTCCAATATGCTTTATGTGGTCTCGTGGCCTCGCCAGTCATACCAGTGTGCTGGTCATTTCTGTGTCTGTTGCCTGGTAGAGCTGGCACCAATGAGTCGAGGGTTCTAGTTTTAATTTGTCACTAACTCTGTGACAAATTGGTCAAATTGCCTTGTGATAAATGAAACTTCGGTCAAGGATGGCACAGGACTCACCTCTCTCCTTTGGTCTCTGTTTGCCCCAGTCCTTCAGCGTGACAGCTCTTTTTGTGGGAAAATATGGCTTAAAGGTTGGCTCTGGTCCCTTCTCTTTGGCTCCAGTTCCTGTCTGCAGACCTGAGTCCTTTTCTGAGACTGTGGAATGGCCTTTCCAGGAAGCTGAGGTGCTGGGCTGGGAAGCAGCCTCATTTCCCGAGGGGAGCTGCGGGGCACCCTCCTCTAAGTTACTGCTCCGGGGCACTGACAGTGGCTGGAATTCCCACTGTTTGCAATTGACCATGTCCCATTCCCTCACCAGGGAGATGAGTTTTTGCATGGGGGTGACAGGAGGGTCTTTGATTTCAGATTTCTGTGTGAGGTTGACTGCGGTGCACTTCTTTTTAGGGGGACTCTCTGGGTGGGCCCCCCAGTGTCTGGGGTTGGCACAGAGGCCAGGACAGTGGGAGTATGTGCTTGGATTGCCCACCCTCTTGGCACCTCGGCACAGGGACACCTGGAAGGTCTGGGAGTACTGCTCGGCCTCCTCCACCTGGCCAGACCCGGCCAGAGTCCCCTGGGCCTTATTCCATGGAGTCCTGTCGTTGCAGTCTGGGAAGTCCATAGGCACACAGGCTGTGGCCTAGGGAAGAAGCACACAGCAGCTCTGGGCATGTTGTGCTTCCACGTAGAAGTCTCCCCAAGATCTAATAAGCTGGGCTTCCAAGACTTCATTTGTTCATCCACAACAATCCCATCTCCCACGTGGCTCAACCATTTGAGCTTTGCTCAGTCTGAGTGGGGCTGGTGTCAGTCCAGGGGCCTCTTATATGCTAAAGGGACATATTAGCAGCATCCCTGGCACAAATGGCCAACCTTTCCTTGTCTCCTTCAAGGTTCAGAAACTAGTTGCTGTGCTAGGAACCCATGGAGGCCCATTTTGTCACGCCCCTGAGGAGGGAGGCCTGCCCTCTGAACCCTGTGGTGATGTCCCGAGGACACTACCAAACCAAAGAAGGCTGCTGCTTACTTCTTTAGCATGTCTAGTGAACTCCACTAGCGACCCTGGCCCTTCTGTCACCACGTGTAGCCTCCTGATGGGAAAAGCTTCTTCATTTTCAGATTCTTTCTCCTGGGTCCATGACCTGCAGACTCCAAGAGGGGTTGGTGGGTGAGCAGAAGCTTCCACTAGCTCACCAACCAGTTGGTCAGGTCTGCTCTTTGGTAGTGGGGTTCTTAACTGGTTTTGCTTAGGTCAAATCCAATCCTGGGCCTGCTCCACCCTCTTAACCCCAAGGAGGTGGGACTTAGGAGAGGATTCCCAAGAGGAATGTTTAAGCCCAAACTCTAAAACATGGTGTCTAGAACCGTTTCCTTACTTGTATGCCTCACATTGGGTCAGGGCTTCTGAGAGGGATGGGATGTGGTATTCTTCTACCTCCTGGCAGAAGAGGGGCCATTCCCTGCAAATGACAAAGACATCTGGGACTGGGCACCCGGGAAGC